GGCTACATAGAAAAACAAAGAAAAAAAAACTCACCTAGAGTAAAGCAATCAAAACTGAGGACCATTGAAATGGCTCAGCAGGTGAAGGTGAGCAATCAAGTTAATTCAATCCCTGGAACCTACCTGGTGGAAGAATAGAACTGACTCCTATAAATTGTCCTCTGACCTCCACATGTACAGCATGCAAACACATACACACGCACGCACGCACGCACGCACGCACGCGCACACACACACACACACACCACATTTTTTAAAGAGGTGCTGATAGTATTATCTCCTGAGCTATATTTCCCTCCAAAGAACTCCCCCAGTTAACTTTTCATTACCTTAGTGGAAATCCCGAGGGTAACTTTTCACAAAAATTTGAGTAAATTATAAAAGTTGCCAGGAGTCAGCTCTATACCTACAAAGTCATAACTCAAAAGGTCAGTTGTAGTGCAATTAGTGAGAAGCATGGAGAAGAGAAAGGGACACAACTGAATCTACGGCTAAGTGTTTCTTCATATTACTTGGATAGATGACTTCTGAGAAGGATCATTAGAACTCAGAATTGTGAACTATAGTGGCAAAAAAAATCCATTTGTCATCCCATTTTAAAACTCTGTTATATGGCCTAATGTCACATTCCTTGCCAGTTTGGTGGATGTTGGTACTTGGCTGAATTTGGCCATGGCAGTGGATTGAGAGATACTAGGTAAAAATGAGAGAAGTTCTTTTAAAATAAGCTGGGAACTTTCCAGTCTGAATCAGTAAATCCTAAAAGCCTCAGAATCAAAGTGTCACATGCCCTGCAACAGTGCTGTTCCACTCAGCTTTCCAGCTCCACTAGATGTGAAGTGGCCCTGATCTAAATTGTGTTTCACTGGAAACTGAGCAGCCCAGCCACATCATGGAAAATCTTTATAGGCTGGAAAACATATGTCATACTTTAGGTGTATAATGTGGCAGTGTTCTGAAGCATTGCTGCATTGCAGTGAATATTCAACAACCTTAGGCTTTAAAGAACTTTTCTGAGTATTGCAAACAGTATCTGTTATAGGAAATACTAGCCAAAGGGATGTTCTTGTATGCCTAATAAAAACTTAGTGATGGGATTAAAAGGTATTTGTTAAAAACTGATGTTCAGGGCCAATGTGGCCCAGTGCATGTCTACCATGTGTAAGGCCCTGGGTTTGATTCTCAAAAGTGCAAACAGCAGAGGCAGCAAAATAACTCTTATGTTTGCTCTGGCAGAATTCCATGCACACTGTGCTGATTCAGCTTGCACACTTTGAGGGATACCTAAAACACAGAACGTAACTAGGATCTCTTGAGTTGGACAAGGTCTGGCAGCCCTAATTTTAACTTGACAGTACAGCTTTTGAAAATGTTTGTGATTGTTCTCCAGCATTCAGTGAAGACCAGTTGCAACTGCAGTGGGTCTTTTATTATTATTTCTACATTTGTGTTTGCAATTTTCTTAGGCTTTCCCCTTCCTTGTTGGTTCCAAAAGACTTCCTTCCCAGTCTTTGCACACTGTGCTGGCATAGTCTCAGCACAGTTTTCATGAATCAGGGAAAACTTTGCACACTGAGAAGCTTGTCAGACATGTTCAACCAGCTGCAGGCTAATTTATAAAGTCTTTCTCTCCATCCCTTGCCCTTCTGCATTCCTAAAGCATATTGCTTGTACTGTTTTTTTTTTTTTTTAGCCCTTTCTTCATTTTATTTGTGTTAGATGTTGGATGGAATTTGTAGCTTCTGTGTCTTACATCTTACTGCCTTGAAATGCTCTAGTGCCAGTTCCTACCCTGTTGCTGTCACCATGCCCTGTTTACCACCACAGCGCTTAGGAAATTTGAATCTTCTGCCTTTTTGACCCTCCTTTACCTTCCCATTCTTTGGATGTCTTTTATCTCCTTTAGTTAGGAGAAACCATGTGGTTACTAGATGTAAAAAGTAAATAGAGTCAGTGAAAATGAACTTCCCCCATCTCTGAGACCTCTCCATCTCTGAGATCGAGAGTGGCTCTGTTGACTTGACCCTCAGCCTTTTGAATTCTCACTGCAATGAGGTCTGATATAGTTTTACATTAATATTTGGAATGAATAACATAAATTTTATAGCAATTTCAGTTATTAGTTTTGCAGATGACTTCAAAGATTCAAGAAAATGAAAATTTCAAGACATGGTTGTCTCTTACTGGAGAGTTGGGATACAGCCCCACTGTAGACTTTTTCTAATTAGCTTTTGTGTTGCATACTACATGAATGTACTAGTCATTGAAATAGATAAGTAATACAAAAATGTAAACAGGAAATTAAGTATCCCCAATGAAACTAATGGCAGAAAATCCATTGATTATATAAGAAGCAGTTTAATTGTATTAATAAATTTGATCAAGAAAAAAGTATAATTGTTTTAATTTTGTATTAGGAACTTCTTTTTTTTTTTTTCAAGACAGGGTTTCCCTGTGGCTTTGGAGGCTGTCCTGGAACTAGCTCTTGTAGACCAGGCTGGTCTCGAACTCACAGAGATCCACCTGCCTCTGTCTCCTGAGTTGCTGGGATTAAAGGCATGTGCCACCACCGCCCAGCTAGGAACTTATTTCTAAAAAATTTTTTCAGTGTTTTTTTTTCTAATTTAGGGTTATATGTGGTTTTTCTTTGTTTTTGAGACAGTATCTCACTATATAGCCCCAGTTAGCCTGGAACTGACCTGGAAGTCATAGAGATTTGCTTGCCTCTGCCTCCAGAGTGCTGAGATTAAAGAAGTAATCACCACACCCAGCTTTTTATTTTTTTTAAAGCAGGCTTTCACTTGTGTCCCAGTCTTGCCTGGAACTCAGGATCCTCCTGCCTCAGCTTTCTGAGAACTGGAATCACAGGGTAAGCTACCTTGACTGGTTCTCATTTTGTGTCAGAAACTTTGATATAAATGTCAGTCTGGCTCTGAAGAGATGGCTCAGCAATTAAGAGCACTGGCTGCTATTGTAGACCCCCAGATTCAGTTTCCAGCACCAACATGGTGGCTCACAACTATCTGTAATTTTAGTTCCAGGAGATCCAGTGCCCTCTTCTGGCCTCCATGGGTGCTAGTACACACACACACACACACACACAAAGAGAGAGAGAGAGAGAGAGAGAGAGAAAGAGAGAGAGAGAGAGAGAGAGAGAGAGAGAGAGAGAGGGAGGGAGAGAGGGAGG